CTGCCGCCCGACGTGCGCACGTCCCTGCTGCGGGCGGCGGGCGAGCTGCTGGCTGACGCCAACGCAGACACACGCCAGCACGCGCGCCAGTTGTGCCTAGCTCTTGGTGAGGATGGACGATTCAAACAGATGCTCAAGGAAGCAATGCCACCGTCTCGATATCGTGCTATAGAAAAATATGTCGATAAGTTGCGCTACCGATAGGCTCTGAACATTTTTATAGTATTTAAATATTATGTGTATAATTGCATACTATGTTCCTCTCATAAATCGGCTGGGTACCAAAATTAGAGTGAAATTGTGTAATCGTGACTGAAATATGCGAAAGGTATTTTTGTAGTAAAATAAATTATGTAAGTACTTACTGTACGATGATGTGTTAAAAAGAAGTTGATTGTTATCCTCCAATGGAGCGAACTTATTAAAACAATTGATTTATAAACTTTTATTAGAAAATAAATATTCTGGTCTATATTAAATCGTTTTACTTATAACGAACCAATGAACACTAAAATGAACCAAAGAAAGTAATTCCTAGGTATTTTATTACTTTTGTTTTGCATAAGTATTCATTTTAAAACAAACGCACAGGCTAGATAGGATAGATTTCATAGAAACGCATTTTTTTTAAGTTAGGTACACCATACAACAATAATGACATTTGACTCACCTGAGTGACAACCAGTGACAACAATAAATAAACAACCACTCTACTACAAAATACAACAAAATGGTTTAAATTTTGAAATAATACAAAAACCTTTTAAAGATTATGTCCTACAGAATGTCCAAGACATAATCGGCTATGAGACACGACCTATCAGCCCCGAACCTTCTTAAACTAACGTCATTCGTTCTATGGAACTGGTTATACTTTTTTGTGGTCGAATATGCGCCAGACAAGAGCCCTGAATGGTGCTGCAGGGTTATAACATTTCTGCATGGTAGCGTCGCCACTGCCGTCGGCCTAACTCAATGCCAGTGGCATAATTTGGCACCATGGCATTTCAGCAGTAAGTAGTGCTTACGTAATGTCCATTGACTCTAGTAGGCAGGAATCTATTATCTTACTTGATTGTAAATTACTCCCAGTCACACCCTTTATCTCAATGAACAAACACTGAAAACGCCTACCTTCCACTACCTACCACCACGATCTTTGCATACTTCAATAGCTTTCATCTGGCCATTTATGCACGCTTTGAACGGTCTTCATCTGATCTTTTTCCACAATCTCTACAGTGAGATATTTTTTTAAAGGAGCTTTTCTTCTACACTGGGTACCCGTTCAATCTCTAAAATGTAGGTACTGCACACTTATTCACTCGGCGTTACTTTGACATGCCCGAAGTAAGGTAAACCTAACGTGTCTGATTTTAGGAAAGTTAACAGCGTGTCAGTACTTTTTGATGGTATGGTCCTGGGGCTACTTCGCCTTCGACCTGCTATGGTGCTTGGTGTACTGGACCGAGAGTGTTGTGATGCTGCTCCACCACATCACCGCTCTGGTCGCCATCACTAGATACATGCAGAAAGACTGTGCAGGGTGCACCTACTCGTGTACTCTAGTATTGTTAGAGATTACCAATCCTGTATTGCAAACAAGATGGTTGGTACCTACTTATTTTTCATTCATTACCTATAATGTAAGATTTTAGAATATTACAACTTAGGTTCACCTACTTATTATAGTAGTTATATACAATGAAGTCTGTTTGTTGTGTGTAGGTAATATACGTAGATACCGATTAGATGATTGTATAAAACATACCTATGTGAATTAGTAACTAGGTACCTACTTCATGTATATAGTTAGGTAGGTAGTTCGGAGTCGAGAGGGCATGGACATGGATTTAGGGGATAAAAACAGACATTATCAAGTTAGCAACGCAGTTTAGTAGGTACCTCGTTAATATTATTAGTAATGGGCTACTACTTCGACATGCGATACCTAACTTGTGTAGTAGCCGTACAAGACTTTCCGTTTAAATATTTCACTGTCCTTCAGATTTAAATGTCATTAACTTTCTATAGGACTTACATTATCATGGCCAACGGAAACGCCATTTATTAATTACCTACCGTTCGTTAGTCCTTGAACTTATACCTACTAGCTATCCTATATCGCGGGTTCTAGGTAAATAAAATACGATTTCCTTTCATGTGCGACCTTGTGTAGGTAATATTGTGCAAATAAAATGTGTGCATAAAGAAAATAGATGATATTACATTTTTTAAAAACTTCAAAATGTTGCGCGTGTTTCAAAATACCTCAGGTTTATGATCATGATTGATTAACATCAACATCAAAATAATAGTTGTATGGAACCCGCGACCCACAAGTCATTACTTAGCAGTCAGTCGCTCACTTACTGCACCAGCCGTGCAGTCCCTTTTGCCTTTGCCTTAGAGCCGTATTATCCCCAAGGAAAACGCCTGGGGCGCCAGTTACAGTGAGGCGCCACGAGACGCGCGTGCACAATTGCCCGTTAGGGGCGCCTATAATGTCATTGCCTCAGGCGCTCGCTATTTAGGTATAATCCGCCTCTGCTCTTAACTCGTTGAGTACCGTCATTATAGACACAATTAAAGAACAATAGGTGGCGGTCCCCGGCAGGCCCGCCGTAAGCGCGCGTGCAAAGCGTGCACAGCACACGGGCGCACGATCATGGGGGTGGCAAATCGACCGACTCATTACCTACTATTCAAAATCATTGTCCAGAGTAAGCAGAAAGGATAAGAAATATCATCGCCGGGAAAAAATCCCACTCGATGCAAGCAATATTAGCGTTGTGTATTATGTTTGAGGCCTTATACCGGTCAGTAGCGCCTTAAATTCGAAATCTGTCGAGCGTCCTCGAAAACTATCGAGCATCCTCGAACACTATCGAGCGGCCTCGATCACTTTCGAGCGTCCTCGTTCAATTTCGAGCGCCCTCGAAAACTATCGAGCGGTCTCGATCACTTTCGAACATGCTCGATCGCTTTCGAGCAACCTCGATCGCTTTCGAGCGTCCTCGATCGATTTCGAGCATCCTCGAAAACTATCGAGCGTCCCCGAAATCTGTCGAGCGTCCTCGAAAACTATCGAGCGTCCTCGATCGCTTTCGAGCATCCTCGATCAATTTCGAGCGCCCTCGAAAACTATCGAGGGACCTCGATCGCTTTCGAGCTTCCTCGAAAAATATCGAGCGCCCTCGAAAACTATCGAGTGTCCTCGATCAATTTCGAGCGACCTCGATCACTTTCGTGCGTGCTCGATCGCTTTCGAGCGTCCTCGATCGATTTCGAGCATGCTCGATCGCTTTCGAGCGTCCTTGATCGATTTCGAGCGTCCTCGATCACTTTCGATCGTCCTCGATCACGGTCGAGCGTCCTCGTTCACTTTCAAGCGTCCTAGATCACTTTCGAGAGTTACTCAAAATCTATCGAGCGTCCTCGATTACTTTCTGGACTTAATCGAAATCTATCGAGATATCTCTATCGCTTCGCGTCGCCTTCTCCGCCACCGTAAGCGCGAGTCTGCTGACGGTAAGCAAAGATAACCTGATACGTAGCAGATCCGAGCGTACGGTGCGTTGTGTAAAATGCAGGCGTCAAAGAGTCATTACTTCATCAGACACCACAGACGGACCCACCAGGATTGTTGCTTTGCTGGAGGGTAGGCTGTCATATGGGTACTGGGGCCCTGGCTTTGAGCAAGTGTTGAAGGGAATGGGGTGGTTAATAAGAGTTGTAGGAGTCACTTCGTCAAGAGTAATTTGAGGACTTTTTACCCACCCAACAAAAAGGGGGGCGGCATAATCGGTGTTTCGACGCGGGCGCTCGAATGGGCGGGCGCGGTCCCCGGTGAACGCTCGGTGTTTGACAGTTTAACACTCACAAAATGCCATTTCCAGGTTTCTCAAGCATGAAGGATACGGGAACACAACATTTTATTTCATTGTAGAAGTCCTTTACCTCAGCATGTTCCTAGTCCTTCGAGGGATATTGGGCACCTACCTCATTTACTATGTATTCAATACGGGATACTTCGATTGGGAGGAAAAAGTTCTATCACTCATGTTCTATGTTGTTTCCCTGGCCTTTGTTTATGATATAGCTGGATATATACGTTACAAGTACAGAAACGAGATAGTAAGTGAATTTTAAATAACTAGGTACTTGGGTACTTTCAATATTAAAAGCAATATCGCACCCACACGTCAGTGTCCATTTCAAAAAGAAAATCTTAGGACATGCCTTTTTCATTTCTTTCAAAGTGGGAAGAGGTGGGCAGAAAGCTAATATTCTAATACTTAATTTATTGTATTTTGGCAGGTAGTATTCTGCGATGTTTAAACCTATATATTTACTTACTGTTTTGCAGAATAGTATTACGCCAGTATTCTTTACGTCAGTGTGTTATAACATTTTGTGATAGAAACAGTCAAGTGGAAAATACAGACTAACAGCACAGAGCCTAACCTGGCCCTGCCTAGAAGGATATTCCATCGAAAAATGAAGTACCTACATGTCCGCAGGATGATCAACTTAGAAACAGATATTGTTTTTGTTTTGTAATTTTTAACCATGCTCATTAAAATCTTCTTTTACATTTTACAGAGTGAGTTTAGAGAATTCTACTATGCAACCCAAATTTATACTGAGTCTGAAGAATTTCGACGGAGGGCACTAACACATTCAGAAATTTTAAACACAATGTAGCAATTATAAAACAGTTTTATTTGAAAACCTTAAAAATCTATAGATTATTATAATCCATACTTTACATTTTTGCCTTCTTTATTAAAAAAGGTGTCAGTGTTCCTGCTACCTAAAAAATACAAATATCTATTTTGTATCAATTAAGCAGAAATATGTTTTAATGTGTATAAAATTAGACACCTTATTGCACACAAATGCAGATGTAACAATATTTTATACAGCATTTTGGTCAGTCCTATTAGCTAAGAAATATAAAACAATAAACAAGATAAGTTTTAAAAGAAAACTTTTTTATTGCCTAATGCCCCAATACTGATAGGCTACTCAATTTTAATTTGCGCTTAAGTATAACTCTGTCACTACAAATTCTCTGTAAAATGACAGAGATGGCAAGATTTGAGTAGCCTTTCAGTACTCGGGCATAAGATAATCTGTCCATATTCAAATTTGTGGAGCAGCCAACTCAAACTTGGACATTTTACAACACTTTCAATCAAAAATGCTTCGAATGATTGCAAATGCCCCATGGTATATAAGTAATACCCAATTACACCGAGACTTAAAAATAAGACCAGTGAAGGAGGAAGTCATAAGCAAACTGAAGTTGTTTTCTCGTCGCATAAGGAGTCACCCCAACAAGCTTGCTAGTGAGCTTATGAAGTCTGCCAGCACCTTTAAGCGCATCAAAAGGAGAGCTCCACAGGACCTACTCCTGTCTCAGCAAAAACATCCAACTTGAGGGATGCAATAATTGAAGACGGGTACACCACTGGGTGTTCTCCGTACATGTCACAATACATGAACCTCTTAACCACCAGTTAAAAGCCCAACTGGGCAGATTGCAGGGAAATAAGGAGATTAAAAAAAAAAATAATAAAAAAAAATTTGTGGAAGCACTTCAGACAAAGCTGAAAAAATGAAGGTTCCAAACTTTCTTTGTTAATTATAATGATAGGTGTAAAGATAAAGTAGAGCCAACACCTTACACAACATGTTCATCATCATCACCTGTTTAACAGTTTAACGAATCAATCTTGCTTTGAAATACTTATCGGCTTCCACATGAACATTTTGGTGTGATGTTAGTTTTACTTAATAAAGCTGGCAAAAGGGAATTGGAAACAAGTAATACATTATCAAGATAATTAACAAAGACATCAATAAAATTACCATCTTAAACTTTGCTTTAACTATTACATCTCTCTATCTCTATCAATCTTATACCTACCACCATCCTAGGGACAAAACGTAATTTACAAAAATATGTACAATGGAAATTGGCATCTATCCAAATGAAAATATTATCTGTGGTAGCTGCTTTTCTTATTCCTCCTGTCTCTCCAGTTTGATGAATATTTGCCTTTGTTATCTTGTTTTCTGTTTGGTCTGTAATCATCTCTAAGTGAATTGTCTTTGGGCCTATATGGATGGTGGCGATGTGACCAGTTACCCTGTAAACTAGCAACAACCAATCTATCAGTGGAGTCATGTCCCTGGCGATTAGGTATTTTGAAATCATCTTCTTTCAAATGATCTGCCATTTCAACAAATTGTTGGGCAATATTGCCCTGTTGAGGAAATTCTAAAGGTGGTTCCAATCCATAACATCTTATAGGCGGTGGCAATGTCACCATCCGTCCTCGACTCTGCAGCGAAAGCGTCCGATGAAATAAAGATGTTCCTCTGAACAAGTTCAATGCATAAGGCACAGACACTTCATGACAATACGTGATGAAAGCGAAATTCTTTTGGCGACCATCTCGATCTCGCGGTATCCTAACCTTCTCTAGCGGTCCTGCCTGTAATTACAAAATATAAATAGAATATTTCAAAAACTCACTATAAACTTCCAACAAATATCTTTAGCACGGAGCATACCTGCAAAAATAATTCGTATAGTAATTCTTCCGTGACTTGTTCTGGTAAATTCCCACACCATACCGTTTTATTATCTTCTTCTATCATGATTTCAAGTACTTTCTAGTTAAAAACTTCTAATTAGAAAACAAACTTAAATATTTCTTTTGTTGTAAATTACCCTACAACTACATCAAGCTACGCGATTGTAGATTTGACACTTGACAGACGTGACATTGTGGCACATAACACTATTTAGTAATCATCTATGCATAAATATGACAGGCTGCAGCATCTGAAGCATTCTGAGGCAACCGTTGCGTTGGTTCCTTTCCTGTATACTCTTTCACATGACAGTATCCTGCTACAGGCCCACAGAAAGAAATTCCAGTTGGAATATGTGGGACCTACCTATGTACTCTGTTTTTATATATGTATTGTCCTCTATGTTGAATGTGTGTAGGTAAATAAATAAATAAATAATTTTGAAATTGCCCGTTTTCCGTTACACTTTACTTTTCATCAAGTTATTGATTTATTATTGGGAATTTTATAAATGATATTTTTAGGGTAGCTAATAAACCAAGGATTTTTTTTTCTAATAGTTCGTACGCTTAGTTTAATATCATAAATCCAGTTTCCTATTGACCAAATTAGTGACTCAAAACATTTGATACTAAGGCGCTGCGCAGACGACAAGCAGACAGGCAATTTGTATTTGCTAGGGCTTTGCTTGATTTTATGATTTGTCTTCAAATAAATAACAACTTGTCAAATGTAGTAAAACACATTTTATAATTTTTTAATATGGAACTATCCATTCAGTAATCTTTCTGGAAGTATAAGATGTACCCAATATTCTCTATTTCTTCTTCTTTTTATGTACTTTATATACAAAATAATACTTCGCGGTCTCTGCACAATTTTAAATTTCCATAACGTTTACGTCCCTACAGCTCTGCCGACAGATGATCGAAAATATGTCGTGTGCGTTTAGTCTGTGAAAAATTCGCGACCGACTATCTGCGCGCCATGCAGAATTGAAAGTGTCTGTCACCTTTACTTGCTATTTTGACAAAACCAAAAATGTTGAATATCTCAGTAACTGGCCACTTTTGAGACCTATGGACTAATTATTTTGTAGGAAATGCCATAAAAACCCTGTATACTTTTTCGGGATAAAAGTATCCTGTTCCAGTGTTATGCCCAGGATATTACCGTAATCGCACGGATAGTTTTTGCGAGGTGCGTGAACATACCAGAACATACAGACAGACCACGAAAATTTATTTAATCACATTTTTGGGTTCGGTGTCTATTTAGTAACACCCTTTACTGTTTACCTACTTATTTAATATTTTCAATGTACATTTACCTAAACATCTGTGCCTACACCATCTAATGGACAAACTTTACGCCATGTTTATTTCCATTTTGGGCACGTACTTTAGTCATTGCACCAGTCCCGCAGGCGGGCTTAGTGAGACCAGCACACCAGCACCACAGAACAAAATACTCTAACGAGGGCAGCACCGAGCACTTGAGCTTCCCCTCCCTCATACTTTATACTTATTATACTCTTTGGTTTGGCAGTCGCTCTCAGTATAATATTGTATAGTCTATGGCAGTCGCTTTGTGAAAATGTGAATTTTGTTGCAGACTTGGCAGTAGGTTGTCTTTCGTGTCAATACTGATTATACTCTTTGGACCGATCAGTGTTTGGATTGGCTTGGTGGTTTGTCAGTACTAGTGTTAATTTTAGTGATATTGTTTTCTGCTATTCCCGTTGATATTAGGATATAGTTATTAGGATAATAATTACTATCAGAGTCCTGACAATGTGCGGATCTGTATGTATCCAAGGTGATTAAGATTAGTGGCGTACAATTTAATTCTAGTTACTACGTATACGTTTTGGACTGCTTTAAGGTTAAAGAACGAGCCGCAACATGGAAGACTCCACTAAATACCAACAGATGCAGGATGAAATGTCCAGGTAACCTATCAAATTATATTCGAAATATCATAACATCAATAATAACCTCAAAATTTTTCAGCAACGGTCGGTGATAAATTCTCCTATTATTAATTATAATTACCTACCTAGCTCATATATAGTGTAATAAGACACGCTTGAAAATAATAACACGATGTAATAAGCTATTTACAACGTATTAGATATTTATTGTTCATTTCTTTCCTTGAATTTGACACAAATGATTGTAATTGTATTTAAATGTGTTATGTTCTTGATAATTTGCCACAAATGGTCAACAACAAGAATGCTAATTTATAACTACGTGGTATAAATTGTTTTTATGACCATTTCTATCAATAAATTATTACAACTAGAATGTCGAAAGTTTACGACAACAACATAAAAGAATGTATGTTGCTGATATTTAAGAGGTGCTTTACTATGCCGATAGCGTACATGCAATCATGCATTTTTATCTCGGCTACATCAATAAAACCGAGGTAACTAGGACGTAAGTGTAAAAAACAGAAAAACAGTTAGAAAATATTAAATGGTCACCTAACTAATCTAAGCAGAAAATATTAAATGGTCACCTAACTAATCTAAGCTGGTAATAATGTAAGTTTACTTAATCTCAAATACAGCTTGTGTTATCCTTAGCAACTTTAGCTTGGTGAACAACAACACATTCAAGAACCAAGAAGTTGAGCATAGGTAACATTTTGACTAAAAGTTTTTTTCAGCAAAGTTTCTGTGGTAATTCTTGTTATTATTAGACACTTTAATATCAAATGAATATTGTATTGTTATTTTCTTTGCTAGGTTTGAGGCGGAGATCTCAGGCAGTGATGCTGGAGTCGGGGTTGTTTCGCGTGCCGTGATTGGTGCAGCAACATTTGGTGCAGTGCAGCAACAGTTAGAGCGAGCTAATGCGCCTCTGATTCCGCCATTTGACATGACCATGATGTACCCTACAGTACCACCTCCACCTCCACCACCTTCTATCATGGTGCCCTCACAGGTAACATATTGTTTTAGTATTATTTTATTAATCAATCATATCTCAATTTTAAAATCATACAAAAGTGTTTTATGTGTTCTATTTGCATCTCATTTGAATGTTTAATAATGCTTGGCTTCCTTGTCCAAGAGTTAGTTTATAGTTACTAAATTAAACTGAAAAGAAATCATTTGTCTCATAATTACATTAACCAGGTTTTTCAAATGCATTTATTTGGTATGTTTCATACTTTTGTGCTTTTAAAGCATGAGTATGAATCATAGAACAAATTGAATGCCAGTTCTTATTATCCTAATTAATAATATCACACCTGAGTTCCTTTTGCAGCTTGGTATGCGAGTGATCTTTTTTCTGCAGACAATAGCTGAAGATTGACCAACAACTACAGTACGAGGGTTTATCTCCATTAACATAGATGCTTTTGTTTTGTATTACAACACTATTTATCTGAAATAGCAGTTAATTGAATGATGATGATGAAATTACCCCTTATAAAGCTGCTGGGCAAAGATGTAATTTTAAATATTTTCTAATAAGAATATACACATGGTCTATTAATATCTGTGTGTTTATCAAGTGGATGGCTTATTAGCTAATTATTATAGAACATTATGTGAGTAATATGGTAATGATTCATCATTAACTGTGAGAATTGAAAAAGACCACATGCTGCCCTCAATAAAATGGAGAGTGACATGTTAATTTGACCCCATAGTATGAAACAGTGTACAGAGATAGTCATTCATTGTCATACTAATATCCAAATATTTATCAGGTACGAATGCGTCCAACCACGAGTAGCGATGTGTTTCCCGTCGCTCCAGCCCTAACTTTCCTGAGGCCGGGGCTGCCAGGTCCTCAACTAATTCCACCGCCGCCGCCGAAGCCACAACCTGTGGTACTCTCTGCAGCTCCCAAACTCTACAAGCAACCTAAAGAAGATGATGAAAAGAAAGAAAAAGAAAGTCGAAAGAGGGTAAGTTCTTCATAACTTCCTATGTAACTGCTATTAAATTCTAACTCAATTCTAATTTTTTTTTATTCTTTAATGAAGTTGTTCATCACAGATTGTGTTTAAAATTTATTTTGCGCAATTGTGAAGAGATTCTTGTATAAATCTTCTTTAATTTATAAGTATCTCCTAATAGCCAACTCTTTCTTAAAGTTAACTAATCTAGTTTATGAATTATGAATTCAATTAATTGATTAATGTCAGTAACAGATTCTAAAATTCCATGTTTTAATTTTCAGAAGCGCACCCCGCCCCCGCCACCACCCCGTCCAGAGCCGGTGATAGAGCCACTACCAGTAGCACCCCCACCACCAACCATCAGCATTCCAGACACCATCGCTAAACCCAAGAAAGAAAAGAAGAATAGAAAGGTATGTGTTCAAGTTTGTTGACAATAATAATATTTATGTATTTTGTAAAATTTAAGTTTTAGCACAATCATCATCAACAGCCTATAAATGCCCAGTGCTGAGCAAAGCCTCTTCTCACATGGAGAAGGTTTAAGCACAATGCTTGTAACTTATCTCAACTTTTCCACTAATGTACTAGTTTCATGGGCTGTAACTATGTATTCATTTGTGTTTTCTATTTGTATTTTACTTGTAGAACAATTATTAAGACTGTCCTTAAAAAAAAACCATTTTAAATAAGGTTTTTGTCCTTGCATTTTGTATACTACCAAGTTTACCTACCAAGTTCCTCTATAGGAACCAACTAGTTCTGTCCTGAAATGGGGTGTTTCAAAATGGATTCGAGGAAATTGATTGTGACTGGTATGGTCTATAATTCTGGTCTTTATTTGTAGTGTAAACGAATCATAAAATAATTTATGTACTACTTCTGAACAGATTAGAATGCTATTCTCAACAGTGGATAAAGTGATCAATAAATAAGGGTTAAGTGTATGGTTGTGAAAGATACGGGCGCAAAATTAATTTGTTTTAATAATTTTATTTCTTTTGTATCAGGTTGTCAGAACTGCCGGAGGTCAAGTTTGGGAAGATGTGACGCTGTTAGACTGGCCTGATGATGATTTCCGCATGTTCTGCGGCGATCTTGGGAATGATGTTACAGATGAACTACTAGTGAGTATCACAATATATTAAATGGTTATTAAATTAAAAAGTATAAGAGTTTTGACAATAATTTGAGTTCCTATGACTAATTCAGTATTACGAAATCATGTTTCGAATAATTCAGTATTACGAAATGATTCGAAACAGTTACAAATAATAAACTCGTTACTTATTAGTCTCATGTGATCTAAATGTGTAATTTGTTTTTATTTTCAGACGAGAACCTTCAGTAAATACAGTTCGTTCCAGAGAGCGAAAGTGATTAGAGATAAAAGGACGAATAAAAGCAAAGGTTTCGGGTTCGTCAGCTTTAAGGATCCTGGTGACTTCATCAAGGCTATGAAGGAAATGGATGGTAAGTTTCATTGTTGATAACTTAACCCTGGATCACTGGGAACTGTCATGTATTTTTTTCGTGCTATTTTGGAGAACTTCGAAAGTCCCCCATTATTTAGCTAGACACAAAAAAAGCTAACATTTAATTTGTTTTTAACAATTTTAGCTCTCATCTTATTGTAATCACTACATGCATCCAACTTTTTAGCAACATTAACAACATCTTAATCAATTTTTCCCATCGTTTCCAGGTCGTTACGTAGGCAGCAGACCGATCAAGCTAAGGAAAAGCACATGGCGAGCTCGAAGCTTAGACGTTGTAAGGAAGAAGGAGAAAGAAAAGGCAGCTCTCCTCTCTCTCCTCATGTCAGGCAACAAGAGCTGACAACACTACTGACTTTATTTATCTGTTACCTTCAGGGTTGCCATGTGAAAATTTTTAGAAAGTGCAATTTAACGGCTTATTTATGACCATGCTCAGTCAAATTAAATTAGCTGTATGGTAATACTCCTGTTTGCGACCCTAGGATGATTTCGTTTTTGTATTACAAATGGACTATATTTGTGAAAATGAACTGCAATATTTTATTTAGGTTAGGTAAAAATTCTAGCCTTGACTTGGACCTATTGATGGTAGTATGTTCACTACTATACTCGGAATTTTAATTCAATTCCAGATTTGACAATTTCAACGTTATGACAAGTACTAAATAGTGACGTTGCGAAATGGAATATTTCTGGATCGATTCTTTTCGTTTGTAATTTTACTCTCGTAAACTAAGTATATCAGGGAATTAAATATTTCTGAACCGATAATTTAGTTTTGACGATTAATTAACGATCTGAGACTTTCCTTTTATAATTGTGTGTGAAATAAATAAAAAAATGTAATCATGAAGGAACATGACAAATTAAACAGATTAATGTATTATGGTAATAATTTATTTCATAAATTGCGCCGTCATCGCTATCGCTATCCTGTCAGTGTCTGTAACATTTATTATAAAACACACACACTGATTGTTTATCGATTTTTGTGTTCATCACTACACTATTATATGTGGTATCATTATTTCACAAAATGACAGTAGCTAATGTCAAATCTAGAATCTAATTAAAATTCTGACTATAGGTACCTTAGTTTATTGTATTTTTTGTATACCTTTGCATGCAATAATGGGCAAACGTTGAAAGTTGTTGATAGATAAGCTTGTTCTTTTGACGGCCGTGGTCGGCTATAGACGACAAATAGAACATAGCCATCCACTGTTGGCTAAAATCGACAAGAAATCGTAATTTTTAATTAGATTTAGTTTGTCGACTTCAGCCGCCCGTGGTGGTCTAAACGTGGTGTCTAACTGGGAGTCCTATATTTTATTCCTATAACTCCCAGTTATCTATAATTGAATTATTGTTAACCTATTCAACAACTATCCACATTTAACATCACATTTAGTCTGAATTTGTATTTTAACAAATAAGACTATTTTCTGTGTTAAAAACAAAACCAATTGCAAGTAGTGCTAAGCATGTTATTATAGTTTTTATTTCAATAAATAAATTAGTCTTATAACAACGTTTTTTATTTAGTCAACTATACATTCAACTACATAAAGCGAAATAAAATATATTTTTTTTAATCATAATTTATACAATATATTACTAAATGGTAAGATTTTCTTTGGCTAAACTTCTCCAATCTATACACATTTACACTTACAAAATACAACAAAGTTATAAAGAAATCCGTAATCAAATATTTGTAATCGGTTAATTCACATTCAATTTTATTGTTCCCCATTACATTTTGCACTGCTTTTATCGTTATTTGCCGGTTTGTCTGCAGTAATCTTTATTCGACTAAAATTAATATTACGTCAAATCGTAAAATATTTGTACAAAGATTTAAAGCTAAAACTTCGACCTCAACTATACATAGATAATTTGGTACTTAAGGATTACTACCACACTTTAGGGTGCATCTGTATCTAGTCATATCGGAATTCAAAACAAGTCCAGCAAGTATTTCTCATTCTCATTGTAATTTGAGCCCTACTTTCAAAATTTTGTAATTGGCACTTCAGCTAAGATCATAAAATATACCTAATCGCCTTTTTCAAAGGATCTGTTACAACACGACTTATTTTTCTTTCCTGACAATATTGTGAATGCACCCCCTAACACCTGCTTACCCAATTAGCTTAAACTACAGTATAATACTCGTTATCGTTATCATTATGCCTATACCGCGGGCCGCGTAGCCTGACAGGCCGTGGTCTCTTACGCGGCGGGTCAGCAGTCGCAGCGGCGGCGTACAACTCATCCAGACAGCAGCGCGTGTCACCTTCCTTTAACCCTGAGGTGTACGGACAAAATGGCGTCGCGAAGTCTTCTAGGCAGTATGCACCTGAGGCGCTGAAAATATGTCACAACACGTCAAGGATGAACGTCACTAGGAAATATGTTAGATGACTGGACCAAATGGGCTTGATTAAACAAAATATGAGCATAGGTACATTATAAAGAACAGCTAGTTATTGCACCTGGAAGATAGGAAATACTCTACATGAAGTAATATCAAACCTCATAGGTGCCGGTTGTCCTATAGGCACGGGTAATGCCGAAGCCCTGGAGGGCGGCACCCGCACGGAACACCTCCTGCCACATGGAGCCGCGTCTCGGGATCGGAACAAACTCTCCGCTTGGTAACAGATCGACCAGATGTGACTGCAAAGCGCCTCGTCTGCTCATTGAAACAGAAAATGTTACGTAATATTTTTTATTTTTCGCCTGGGTGAGGCGGGAGCAGTCATTCGATGATTTTCAGACTGTCAGACTCTTACTAACTAAAAACCACCCCGTTCCTTCTCCTGCACGTCGAGCCGGAGCCCCGGTAACCCGTTAGGTTCTAGACGCGAGTTAGGTTCTAGATGCTAGTTCGCGACATGTTACGTAATATAGATTAGATACTTTAAGTCAGTAGTTCACTAGTCCCTAGGGACTTAGGTACCTTGTGAGTTAGTATTATTAAAATGTTAAAAAATGCTCTACATAGGTATTATACTCACTCGGTGTATCTTCGCAATAAGGTTGACTCCTTCCACCATTGAGACAGAAGTCGGCATGTCCAAGTCGAGCGCCCTCTCCATAGCGGCCTGCGTTCGTATGCAGCACGTGTACCGCACGAGCATCGCCCGGATCCAAACGCAGAGCTGGTGCTGAGCGGATCAGAGGTCGGGCCGGATCCAGGCCTGGAATAAACGTGGGTAGAAGTTGTGTCACCGAGTTTACACTTTACTAGTTCATTTGCACTTCGAACGGCTCGAGATTCACCGTTTCGCGGTTTATTATTGGTTTAAAAAATTGAGACCTTACTATGAAATTGGTTTCCATAAGCACTATAAACGCACCATGCCTAAAAATGATTGATAAATATACGACGTTCTTTTTTCAACACAACACACTTACCGATAATTCTGTTTAGTCTGAACGTCAAATAGTTAGCGATGATGCCACAAAGATGTGCTCCCAGGGAGTGTCCCACACAGGTTAGGTTGTCAGTCCGAAGGCCGGCGCGTCGGAGTGTAGCCAACGCTTCAGCGACACACCGAGCTACAGGGCGCAGGTTGTGAACCGCTGCCACATAACACGGAGGCTGGCACAGAGCACCCCAGTCCAACATGAACACGTTGTAGCCACCACGACGCAGGTACGCTGCAAAATATTTCAGTAATTTCATAATAGCATTCGGTTGACGTTGGACTTGAAAACACTACAATCTCCTTGATGAGGGTAAAGGTAAAGGTGGTGGACAACCATTCTTTTTTCAAACGCTTAAGGAAACTCAATCAATGACAGATTTATATCTTTCTGTTGCACAGTTTTATGCGTCATAGAGGAAAAACGGTTCGCAGTAAGTACCACGTTTTTCACGACTGTCATTGCTGATACGGATGGCGTTGAACCGCTGTAGTGCAACATGTACCTAGAGAAAGCCGTGGGAGCCGGCAGCGGCGTGCTTCGCGCATTGTAATGCGGCGCGTGCGCACTTTACTCTGTTCCTGCCGACATGACAGTATTGCACGGAGAAGTGAGAATATTTTACACTTTCACCTTTGGCGACGAACCAGGGAAAGATGAATGGTGGTTTATAGCACTTTACTTCACCTCACAAAATTAATGATGCGGTTTATGAGGAAAAGTGCAAGTCCCGAGATTTATTATTCTATACTAAATGCTGGACTTTCTTTGATCGTTTGTTGATTTCTTCGTAAACATAAGAAAGTTATCGCTTGATTTATTATTTGCGTTCCGCCCCGAAGTTTTTAATGTGCATGTTCATACCATCTCTAAGCACGACAATCGGCAACGTATCGTCGCCCCCGGCGTAGCCATGTATCAGGAGAATGTTTTCATGACCTGGGTCCCAGCTGCTCTGTCGCAACCAGTCTTGGCTGCTTAGGTCTACCTGAAAAGCAATAGAACATTTTCAATGTCTTGATATAACTAACTAAATCGTAGTTCTCAATTTTGGTCCCAAAATAACTCCCTGTGTAACTCTTTTTGATTATTCGTGACTGTTGTACTGAGACGTTTCTAGTATCTATTATTTCTCTCTTTAGAATTCCTACGTAACGCTCAGGTGCAAGTGTTATAATAATTAGTTCGGTTGGTATGCCATTGAGTGTAAGAGATAGTCACAAAGATAGAACAGCTCACGCCATAGATACCTACAATTCTTGATTAATTGCCATTATTGCACGTTTCCTAGAACATTCTCTGTTGTGTAAGATTTGTCGTGCTCATGTAACAGAACGCATACTTACACGAATCCACTACTTAAAAAATCAACAAAGGACAAGATTTTCTTTCATTTGCATTCAAAGAAAATAATGATTACTCACAACTCAGGGGTACTAAACATTCCGTTCAAGTCGAGGAAGTGTTTTAAAATACTATAATAAAGTACTTGGCATTCATAAGATTCGAACTGATCGTTCGACCGAAATTTAACGAAACATGTAATTCTTATTTAAACACCGTTACGCATTGGTTTCTAAGATAGTACAACACTGCTAGGCTCTTCTCTGACTTTCAATACGAAAGATCGAAGTGAACTCTATCGTGGTTCGCTATGTCATTAGTTGTGAGAATACGAAAACGACAAGGCGACAAGGCGTCTCCCAGGGTGACCATTCCCATATAGTATTGTAGTCTTTGACCATTCCTTCCGTCCGTCAACCGTACTAAACGTATTTTAAATTGAAAAGTAGGTCGTGACATGGATCGTAAAAAGAAGTGTGCACTTCTGTTATTGCTTAGGAGATACAGGAAAAAGAAACAAAGAAGATTTTGGGAAGATAAGGTTTTGATGCGCGCATCGATTGATTCTTGATAATTTTTCAGTTGTCGCAGAGACGAGAGCTCACAATGACAATAATACAACGAACCGTGAAACCAACATTAGTATTGTACAAATGGTACGAACTCGTAAACCAAAGCAAGCCACTGCGATACAAGGACAACGAAATAGTAAAATGTAGGTTTGTAACACGATTCTTGTATAGTTATTGTAAATTCAGTGCTACAGCCATGAATGGGCAGTGTGTGAGCGCAATAACTTATTGAGTCCCGCCAAGGAGTCCCTCGAGGACGAGTAGCGGTATTTCGGACGCATTCTTGAATATGCCGCATTCGCTACATCGTAATGAGAAAAGTGAAATTTAGTTCCTGCGACTGTCATTCGTTTAGTTACGGGTGCCAATGTGCCATGCCGTCCTGTGTTATCAATAGAATATTGATATTTCAGTGTTTTTAGTAGAACTAGAACAACCAACTTACATAGGTAGAGACTTGACAGACATTTTTGTCCGTTTCATCACTTGCGAGATAAAAGACTCATTCAAAAATTATTCATCTCCTTAGAGCTAGGTCGCATCGGGTTTCTCTCTGTTTGTTTCTGCTCATTTTCGTCGTTACTCCAAAACCTAACTTAAAGGAGTATCTTACAGGAGGACATTCAATAAAAAATGGTACAAGATAAAATAGATAAAAAAGGTACAAATAGACGTTTCGTGACCACTAACCGCTGCAACTTAATGGACAATGCCAATATTTGCATTAGTGCACACTTGGTCGCGGCTGATGAAACACGAAGGTGAACTGCTTTCGTTATTAATGAACATTAGTATCTACATCTGACCTGCTGTTTCACGAGTGTAAACAAACACTCCTTTTTTGAGTGTTACTTAGCATGTTGTTAGATTATTTACTCCTAGCTAAAGCTGATAATAGCGATTTTAAATCCGAAAATTCATTAGCATTTTTTTTAGAGGTACACAGTCGATGGTCACAGGCATGGCCAAAGGTGGTCTTACTTAGTAATATATTATGGAAGTAAAACGTTAACTATTAAGGCAATCGCGCCACGATTTGCTTTCCACGATTTTCTGGTAGCACTCAAGTAACATGGTACATAATATATATCGATCGCAGTATATCGATATTTGCGTCAGATATTTAAAAATCATATCGTTTTAGAACGTAGAACCTTGGACAATGTACCAACAAACTGTTAAGCAATGTAAGATGAAGAATGTGATGCTTTCGTTTGAAAATCATCCTTCACGTAAACGCAACGCTGTCTCGTTGGTTGTGACCCGTGAGACGAAAAGGTGGAAGCAATACCTAGGTATATTTAAAAAACCAAAGTAAAATCCCAAATATTACGGAAATGATAATGTCGAAATAGGCACCTACAATCATAGATGGTCTATGTGTTAGAACATTATTGAAACATCATCTGCCTAAGTCAATTACACTATTGATTGTGTTTGACAAATATTTTAAGTAAATTATCTTCTTAACTGATTTTAGGTACCTTACCTTATTAACTAATTGCGTATTCGTAATTATTGAAGTGATGTAATACTTAAGCATGGGTGTTTCTATTTGCCTAATAGGTTACCGGCTATGGGGTCAGGCACGGTTCAAGCATTACCAAAGACGGGCATTTTAGCTCAAAAGTACATTGCCTGTACACTGTAGGTAGGTACCTGGTACATTGGTAATCCAATGATTACTTGTTTCTCCTAGCAGCTGGCTCTTGTTTGTGCCTGTATTTGTGCGGTAAGCCCTTCCGCCTTTAACTAAAAAGGGAGCGGATTTAAGTCCTTAACTCGTCGAGTACCGGTTTTGTAGACACAATTATAGAACAATAGGTTGCGGTCACCGGTGACCGCTTGGTGTTTGACAGTTTAAGATTGGTCTAATCGGCTACGAGTAGACTTAAATCAGTTCAGTAGATTTTTCACTTATCCAGAAACAACCATTCATTTGTCGTATTCCTCGCAAACGTCGTATTCCTGTCCCATTCACAATAGCACTAAGGTTTTTAAAACATTGCAAAAAGTGTGATGTTTAGTAACTACTTGTAAGATTTTACTATCCATTGACTTGTGGGAACTTTGATGATCAACAATGTGTTTTGCGGATAATTTTTTCAATCTTCCTCTGCAATGTAGGCAGACATGAGTTTACAATGGCATATGTTTGTATAATATATGCATATCTGCGTATTTATTCATCATTTCGCAATGATAACAGTCATGTGAACTGCGGATTGGATGCTGTGATTTTGAAACTTAGCATTGGACTGATAGAAGTATTATTATGTTTGTGAAATTAAAAGAAGGATTGTTCGAATGTTCAGTGGATCGTTCAAACGGTGATAATTGGTTTTTCGTAAAATGTACTTAATGGGCATCAGTATATAACAAAACATGGTACTCACAACATTCTTAATAGGGTCTGCTTCAGTATACAGATGTAGGTTCACATCTGGATCGGGACAAACCTCCTTATCCCGTCTCCAGACACAGTCCTCGAAGGTGGCGTTACTGAACGCATCGTTGTGCAGCAGGAGAGCCTCCTTGATCGGGTGTCGTTGGGACAACACAGCTGGGTAAATAAAAAGAAAAACATTATTAAACTTTTTAATTTTCGTAAGTAATGGTTTATGCCCGATACTGACTTAAGTAGGTAAAGTGTACCTAGTCGCGAAATCGATTGCTGAGTTAGTTATTTTCTAGGATATTTTCGCTAGTTCCGGATTCATACACATTAAAAACATTTCAAGTAGGCTCAATAATTTAATCTAACTGCCTGCTTCAAATGATAGCATCATCTATCACAAAAGGAACTGAGCAGGAGTTCACCAATTAGCAATAAATACTGAAAGCTGAGTATCTTATGTAGAAAAGGTAGCAAAACGGGCTTTTTTTTAAGGGGGGAAAATCATCGAATGACTGCTCCCGCCTGGGTGAGGCGGGAGGGAGTGCCAGACTCTTATTGACTAAAAACCACCCCGTTCCTTCTCCTGCACGTCGAGCCGGAGCCCCGGTTACCCGTTAGGTTCTCCGCGACAGCAAAACGGGCTATGTGCCATTGGCTGTGAGAATAATTTCGACCAATGACAGCGATTTTTTTTAAGGGGGGAAATCATCGATTGGCTTCGCACGCCTGGGTGAGGCGGAAGGGTGTCAGACTCTTCATGACTATAAACTACCCTGTTTCTACTCATGCACTTCGAGCCGGAGCCCCGGTAACCCGTTAAGTTCTCCGCGGTTCCGTATCGGCATCAGCCCTATTGGGCCACATTAGTTGTGGTCCGATGGCTCTATGAGCCGCGCGCGGAACGCGACGCGCCGCACGTTCGGGTCTGGTTCTGGTCGGATGGCGAGCTACCCATGCTTGCCGTCCGAAGGCCGCAGGCCCGTGCTTACGGTGGCCGGAGATCGTCCCGTGATCGCGGGAATACGATAGAGTTCACTTCAAAAGCTCGAATTGACAGTTACAGAATACCCTTGCTGCAGTGAACTGGAGGCTGTTGATGAAGTATAATCATCAACTTCCTCATGAATAACAAAGTGATTAAGAAACTCAATTAATCATAAAAGATACCTCCTAAAACCTGCTACTATGTAGTACTACGGTACATTACGTACTCATACGCACATTATGCAATAGAGGGCATAATTTGATGGTGTATTATGACATTATTGCTAAATTAATCACGATTTGAGTAATGGATGGAGAGAATCAAGAGAGTCTATTAGACGAAGAATAAGTCAGTACCTACTTGGAAAAACATGTCGTGACTGTGCATGGGCTCTTCTTAAAAAGAAAAGAAGGCTTTACCCAAAGGTTTATAATATTTCTATGGCTTTACCATAGTCTTTTTGTTTGGGAAACGGGTTGAAGATAAAATGCCTGCTTAAACGGTTCACAGAGAGTGCCCCTGTTATATGAGTAGTGTGCCCTTCGGGGCTCTAACGATACCCAGGGAAAGAGCAGGGGTGGTGACAAGTTTACTCTGCTCTGCCATCCCGTTACCTCACGGCAAATAAATACATAATGTGTAAAATCAACGAAAGGGAACTGATTGTTGATTGGGCAAGTGTGATCGTGTATCACAGTAAGTGCATTTATGTCGCTAGCAAGCAGGAACAGTAATTTCTATTGATGAACTACCTTAGTAATTATGGCAAGTGTCTATGCTTTCTTTGCACGCAAATTGGAGCAGGCACTTACCTAAAGAACTTATTTGCCGTTTGTTATTATGAATGATTTTTTTTAATGTGAATCCCTAAATATTATAGATACCATATGCATGCATGGAACGTGCATAAATCAGTGGACCTATTTACAGAAAAAATATTTTATCAAAAAGATAGATAGATGCATTTTTCACACTCTAAAGTTCACTGTTATCCTCGAAAAAATTATCGAAATCTTAATAAAAAATTGCTAAATAGGTAGGTACTTATTTACCAACAGCTGCTTCGAAACTGCTAAACTAGGCTAACATATTTATAAATAACAAAAACCGAATAAACGTTTTGCAAGCACCACACATGTTAACGTACCTTGCGCGAGGAGTAGGGTGGCGGTTGCGATGCAGGTGACTTGCGCACGAGCACGTTCGCGCGCCATCCTTGCTGGGCACTGAACGAAGTACTGAGTTACTGACGGGTACTGGCAGTGGGGGCACTGCTTACCCCCGTACACTTTGCATACAGTTGTGAGTTGCCAAATTACATGTATTGAATAGTAATGAACGAGTGAAATGGGTGAACTTGACTTGTGAACTGATGGGCACGCGCACGCGCACACGCGATCCCATCTACATCCCTAGTAATTTTAGTTGTACATACTAATCAATTTTGATGCATTAACTAGGAGTTTTGCGTTATTAAAATATCAAATCGGAATATTACGTATTTAATTTTGTGCAAAGCGGAATTTGTTGCATATTAATTAATTCTACATTCGTGGTTACATGTGTTGTCCTTGATATCAGAATTTTGAAACTTCTGACTAGCTATAGCGTGCCTGCCACAGAAGTTTGTATGACGGCAGGGATCAATGACTTATCGCAATTTATCACGCATTGGGGCTTAAAGACTACTCTACAAATGGTAATTTAAATGAGAAAAATCTATTTACACTTTATCGAATTGGCGGTGCTTTACGCAGAAGCAGATCTTTCAAGCACTACCAACTACATGAACCTAGCTTGATAAGAAATAAAGAACGACAAAACAACTATTATTGACGTAAAATATACGTAAATAACATTATTTACGTAAAATTCATGAAATCTCTATTAATGAAATAAATATAGCAATAAAATGTTATCTAAATGTGGCATTATTATCGCCTAAAAGTTTTAGTTTTCTAACAGTTATCGCTGAGCATATTGCTATTTAATTATGATAGGCACTTAATTTATTAGTACTCTAGTTTTTGCATCTACGTAACTCGTAACTAGTTTTGACCTCGACAAATCATGATCTCCTCAATGTTATTGCAATGCTTGCTGGATGGCCTTTCGAAAACTGTGATTTCTGCGTTTCATTACGCATACGCCATGGTACTTGTATAAACTTATCTTAATTCCGAGTATTGGAAATTTGATCAGGTTGTGTGGGACATAAATTTTGAGATATTACGATTTTGTTATAGGTAAGTAGGTAGGCACTTTTGTTATGCAACGGTATGCAATTCAACCAAAGGTATGAATAGCTATTCAGAGAGTAATCCCAGCGGGTGCGCCTGCGCATCGACGTCGGTTGTATTGTAGGTAACATGTTGTTATGAGGAAGCGTCTTAGTGTGAGACAGCTTGAAGTCAATGATTGCTCGTTATTATAGGGAGTGGTGTGACTGTGTGCGTGCACGCAGGTGAGATGGCGGCGCTAGAGCGGGACACCGCGCGCGAGAGCCTTCGCGCAGGTAGAGCTGAGAGCCGCCAGGCCAGTCCGAGACATGCGCCCGTGCGCGCCCGCGTTGTGCCGTCGTACATACGGTCACGCATAACCTGCTTTTTAAAAACATCATACAAACTTTTGTTTACTTCTTCATATCATAACTTTAACTTTAAACAGTGTGCCGTGTCTAAAATCAGTGTTTACAAGTGCTTCCTGTGAATATAAAGAACCACGGTCGAGTTAATTGCGCGAATGCCACGCTCTACAGCCTACGCAGCCGGCGGCGTTCCCCACCTCTGTTCATTCAAGGACCAATCGTTGAACTCATCTCGTCTTTCACATCTACGTGATCTCTAAGATTTGGAAATGAGTTCCCAACATACAAAGCGATGTATTGACTAGGTTGGTAACCGAAATCGGTTCCGTCGACAATGTCAATCAATCAGAACGCAGGCCAATATAATAAACAGAAGCAGCAACTAGGTAAACAGGGCCCGGAACCGGTCAACTTTCCACCGCGTTATCACCCGCCTCCTCTAGCCGCGAGTGGGCCCAAGCTATCCACTATCGACCCGTCCGCCAAGGAGTACAAACCGCCATACGCAGGCAAACCTATTGATCCCAGTAAATTACAATATCCTATACTGGCACATGGTGCTGTCCCAGCTTCTTACAGTGGAGGATCTATTCAGTTTTTAAAATATCCTCAAGGCTATCCTCCAGGATATCCCCAACCATCAGGAGCCCTACGTATGCCACGGCCTTCGGCCGAGGTGGTAACAAAAGCTGTTGTGCATGAGCCAGTGGAACCAACTGCACGAGCTAGAAGTGCAGACGACATCCAACGAGCACAACGTAATATTGAAGAGGAACAGATCCATAGAAGGTCAGCTGACATGCTTAAGTTTACAAAACGTGTCGAACCTGAAGGACCTCGAGCATCAACCGATCAGAAACGACAGATTCAAGCGCTATTAGCACAAATAAAAGCGTTAAAAGAAGCTAATCGCCGGTTGAGTGACGATAACCAGGAACTTCGAGACTTGTGCTGTTTCTTGGACGATGATAGACAGAAAGGCAGAAAATTAGCTCGCGAATGGCAACGATTTGGGAGATACACAGCATCTGTCATGCGGCAGGAAGTGTCTGCTTACCAGAACAAATTGAGACAGTTGGACGACAAGCAGCAGGAATTGATTCGTGACAATTTAGAGTTAAAAGAATTATGCTTGTACTTGGATGAAGAACGTGAGAGGAGTACGTGTGTCAACTGTGGTAGAGCAGCAGGAAGAGAGAGGGACGACGGTGATGGTAGCAGCAGCGGTACAAATGCCGATGAAGGCTCGCGCCCTGCCCCAGCGATACCAATCACACATCCTCAGCTTGCCGAACGGACAGTGCAGTATGTAAGAGACTTAGAACAAAAAGTTCGGCGATTAGAGGCTGAAAAAGGACTTGGTAACGGAGGTAACGAACGTCCTGAGGCAGTGGTACGAGCTCTACAGGTTCTGGAAGTTCGGGAACGTGTTGAACGAGAAAGGAGAAGGCCAGCTCCAGACCTAGACTCTGGAGAACAGGCTCTAGTGCGTGAAATGTGTAACGTGGTATGGGGCAAACTAGAAGACGCGCCGCCCCAGGCTCCGCCGCGCTAGAACATGACATAAACAATGAACAGTTAACATTTCCTAATTTAGTGTCAAAGTGAGTTTGATAGAAGGTGGCAAGCGAGTAAATAAAAAGTTGTTCCAAATAAATGCAGATGGAATCCGACTTGATTGAGGTCGTCGGTCCGCTGTCTCGTGACCTAAAGAGCAGAACTGTGTCGACCTTATAAGTACCTATATAGTACATGAATTTAGTTAACGTTAAGGCCCTTGGAACAGTGTGATGTATAACTTGCCACGACTAAAATAATGTAGCGGGAAACCGAAAAGTACAAAATTACTTTATGCATTTTATATAAGTAAGCTGTTAGGTTTAGAGATGCTGTTTATCTTTACTTAGACAAAGTGTTGCCTTATTTTTCTTGCTTATAAAATAAAAAGAAATAATAACATAGATAGTGTAGAAAAATGTAGGTAGAGCAGTGAGCACCAACCCTACATACAATTATTTTTCGTATAAAAATGTATGTGTAGTATAAGCTGCTCCTACCTACCTACTTACACTATTTTATTGTTAGACATAAAATTGTTAAAAATAATTATAAATTTTATGGAAAATATTTGAGAAATTGGTTAATTATGAGGCTATACATTGATATAATTGTCTGTGATTTTCCTGTGAGCTGGAATAAAGGAAAGATCAGCTTCTAAATGCATTTAACTTGTCCTACATTTTGTTGATAAATATTAAGTTTTGATTGAATTGACATTTATTCGCTGTTAGCTTAGGTAGGTACATGGAAGCTAGAATTGTAATATTGCTTAGAGTCTAGTCAGCCATTGATTCACATGCAAGAACAGTTCATGTTTCATAGTTATGTTATTCCAGCTCACTCAACTCGTTCCATTTGCATAGCTTGCTTCAGTTTTGATTATAAATGTAGTGTGTTATTAATTTATTCAGACATGGGTGTGCGAGAAATAAAGCTATTTCTGTTTATTTTTATTCTTTGGTTTTAATTATTTTCTCCTTCTCACACTTATGTGAGGGCGGGGCACAGATAATAATTGTTAATTTTAATCATCCTTTTTGCTGCACTTTGTTTTTGTTTTGATGGCATTTTTTGAATGTCAATTTATTACCTATTTGTTTGTCAACAGTTAAGAATTTACGTTTTTGGAATTATTTGCAAATAATTACTTAGTTTGTGTAACAATGGCTGATGAAGCCAAAGGTGAAGAACCAGAGGATGTTGATACAATCGGGGTAATCTAAATTAACTAACGATCTACGATAATGTTTTGATACCAAATTTGAAAAGAGGAGGCGCTAGAAAATTTCAGAGTGAAATAATCATAGAACTCAGGAGTTTGGATGAAAATTTTGTACCTATAGTGTTAAATGTAGCTAGATTTAGCCTTCTGCTATCATATCAACATTAAAGTTTACAAAGCGAGTGAACAGCTAAGTTTCTTGTTCCTATAGGTTACAAACCATTGTGGTTTTACTTGATACTCCAAAGGTTTCATTTATCAATTAACTGCGTTGCAAATATACAAATAGGTATCTAAGTTACCTGACTAGTTACTCAATAAAAGCTATAAGAACTTTATTTCCAGTTACTAATTTTGAAAGGATGTTTAGGTGTACGTAGGAAAGAGGAACGCTGAGGGCGAGAGGCACGGAGAGGGTTGGGCCCACCTGCCCAATGGGGATTATTATACAGGATGCTACTGCAGGGGACAGAGGAACGGGAAGGGATTATACGTGTTCAAAAATGCCGCCCGATATGAAGGTGAGTCTCTAATTCCATAGATTAGAGCATTTTATTTCACATCTCCCTCGTAATATACTCCTACATTCTAGATACTAAATAGAATCTAGATCAAGAAAACCCTCATACCTGCCCATCATCGTAATCCTTCACCTTCATGTAAGTAATGATATCACATTAAATGCTTACAGGGGAGTGGCGCCGGGCCATGAAATATGGAGTGGGGCGCATGGTGTACCCAGACGGCTCACGTTATGAGGGGGATTGGAGACACGACGTGAAGCAAGGATTCGGTGCCTACTATTACCCAAACGGCGACATTTACGAGGGCGCCTGGTTCAAGGGCAAACGTCACGGCCTAGGTACCTACTTCTTCGCAGAATACCAAATTAAATTCATGGGCACTTGGGTTGAAGGAACGATACAAGGTCCCGGGCAAATTATCTATCCTCGTTACCGCTACCATGGCTCTTGGCTAAAAGGAAAGCCCAAAGGTCCTGGGTGTTTCGTTTTCGATACGAATTGCATGCAACATGGATTCTATCTGCTACTCAAGGACCCAGCTACTTTAGAATTCGGTGAAGGCGAAGAGGAGAAAGAAGAAAAAGATGTTAAGGATGAGAGAGTGGAAGAAGAGGAACCTGAAGAGTTTGACGAGACAGCAGGTGAGAGGACACTGGACAGATATCAATCAGTCAAATGTAATGTAGGTAGGTACTTAGGCAAAGTAGGTAAGAGGATAAGACCCCCTGCAATATGATGAAGAAAAGAGGTGTTTTAGCTTTTTATTTATTCCAAAGATGAATGCTCTGCCAATTAGGTAGGTATTATCTAGTTATTTATGTAAATGCAAGTTTCTACAGGTTTTATTTCGTCGCTCGGGTCATTGTCCTATAGAGACCTCGAAATAATTGTAGCAAAACGGGATTAAATGTCTAGCCATCTAATTTCTAAGTATGTCAAGAATTATTACCTACTATTTGACTGCACCTACAGCTATGAGCTTTTACGGTTTGTATATTTCGAAACATTTTTTCTTTTGAGAGCTAATAAGGCCATAGACGTAGAAAACCTTACTTGACAAAACCCCTACGTATTTCAACCAAATTGTATCGTACCCCTTCACATATTCATTACAACCAGACTCGTAGCAAAAGTTTATGGATTACACAGAGATTCAAGTATTGAACCTATAAAACTGTACAGCAGTCAGTCATACAGCTGCTGTGCCTTGGTGCAGTCAAATACATAATTTACATAACATCACGCCTTTTATCCCCGAAGGGGTAGGCAGAGGTGCACACAGAACACCCACTTTTCACTATTTATATTATGAGTCCCATGTTATAGGGGTGAGCCTATTGCCATATACCGGGCACATTTCCAGATTCCGTGCTACTACTGAGATTTTTTTTAAAAACCCAGTAATACTTTGCCCGACCCCGGAATCAAACCCGAGACCCCACCCCCGGCAGTCGCACTTGCGACCAATCGGCCAACGAGGCAGTCAAAAGAAGAACATTGTAAAAAGATTACTTGTAAAACAAACATATAATTTCCAGGTAAAGTCGCTATGTGGCGTGCACGGAACGTTACAGCGTACATGGCTGAGTTTCTACCACAGGAGCCAGTCCCTCTGCCAGTCCATGACTCAGTGCCTTCTCTTACTGACGAGAGCTGCGTTATAACTGATGAATTACAGTTCGACCAACCTTCGATATCACCAGAAGACGAAGGAGGTGATGACAATGATTCCTGGCTTCTACATAGACAACAGTTCCTTGAAGAAACTGAACAAAAGGAACCGGAAAAAGCTTGAAGTGTCATGTTTCATGTACGGTCTTGGTTCTTCGAGATTCAATGGAATGTGTGTTTTATCTGAATAAATGTAGAGATTTATTTTGTACGTATTTGTTCTATCTTGTTGTGAATTGCAGATGAAATATTTTTAAGTATATTTTGACTGGTAAACTAAAGACAAATCATTTTTATTTTCGTTCAATTAAATATATGTATTAGTAAATTAGTTTATGACTAATTACTGTCTAAATAATAAAGTATCCTACAATCAAAAGTAGTTTCATTGATAGTTTTGAGTGTGATTTTTAATATGTTAGTTTATTATGGTCCTGTTTCTTTTCAGTGTTCATAATCGTTAGTTCCCAGTCAGCGGACTCTTGGTCCGTGTGTTCGTCATAAAATTTTTATGCTTATGTTTAATTTGTATTAAGTCAACCAATATTTAGAAAGTTGGAAATATTATTCAATTACTTCCAGTGATAGCTACCATTCTTCAGAATACACTTTACAAAGTTTTTCATATCCTCCGATAAATAATAAAAAACAAACAGTCATTTTAAACAAAAGGAAGTTTTAATAAAAAAAATGCAATTTTAAGTCTTAGATTATTTTAATTTAAATAGCAAAATAAAATTACTTCTACATTCAACTTATCTTGTGCCATCATTGAGAAATGAATGATTATTTTATTGTTAAGATCTAATTATATAAGGCCGGTGTATATACACTGCTGTATTATAAGACTATGTAAAACTGTAATAACATGCATAAAGTTGTTATCAAAAAGCTATAATATTTCTGTAACTGTAACAACTTTGAGAATAAACTTTCTGTTAGTTCGGAAATCCAGTTCCACACAACTATGAAACACAAATGTAGTTCACTAGCAGCCAGGTCACTTGAGCAAGTAATTGACTAGCAATATGCTATGTAGTTCACAACTTAGTTCCAGTCCCACAGAGTTCTGCTGTGTACAACAATCCAGTAACTAACTGCTATAACATTAGACCTATCACTAGCTATGTCTATTAAGTAGGAAAATTTTATTATTGCCATATTTATAGATGTAAGAGTCTTTGTCACAACGATGAAAAAGAAAATTTTAAATCTATTACAATATGCACATTATTACTGTACAGTACACTTGTGCCATACAACTTGTGGAGATATTATGGTTGCGGGTTGGCCGTCGGGTTGTTACTCGCCGAGGTGTTACTCTCAAAGGTGGTCTTATTCTTCAGTAAATACGCCGCCAAGTAGTCGATGGGATCTGGAGGCCTTTCCTTAGCTAATGCAGACAGACCCTGCAGTAAAATTGGCACCACAGTTTGGTCCAGGTACTGGCGGGTAGGAAGCGCATTTAAGTCAATCCTGGATTTTCGGTTGGCGTTTGACTCGTTCTCTTTTTCCATAGCTATGATTTTCTGAAATCACAAACGTTTGATGTAGTTATATTATTGATTTGATTTTTAAGTAAATAAAATTACTTCTCGTTGCTAGGCAAAAGAAACAATACTAACTCTTACGGATTCAGGTATCTTGGACGTAGGTTGTTCTTCTTTCGGTCCTGAATTACTATGTTGAGATTGGCGAGTTAGTGAAGATTGTGACATCGGTTGCAACTTTCAGTTTAACATGCAGTATCCAATTATTTAGTTTGCTACTTTTTTCTAGTACCTAAAACCGTTTTATGAAATGTACGAAGGCACACCAAGCAAATTATTGAAATGTTTATTTTCAGAATGAAATGTCAAATAATGACTTTTATAAGATCCGGATTGTCTATGTCACGCAAGTTGTTCATAGACAATAGTGGAAACTTACGCAGGTTTCATTAGGAGTCTTTTGGCATCTGAGAGTAAAAAAAAACTAGATTTTATATTCCAGTGTTTCGCACATACAAGAATGCTACTGGATGGGTTTTGAATAATGATGTTGTGCTTGTTACATCGTTTTATACTTACTCAGCCGTTTCATTTCATATTTTCACTACCTACTTATTTCAAAGTACAATAATTATTATTTATTTAGAAATTGACACACACAATAAAATAATAATAGACTACGAAAACTTTTACATATATAGTTTTTTTTACATTATAGCTAATTTTGAGTAATTTACGTCAGCACGCCGGGCTCCTGTTGACACATGAATGAAACTTTTAAAGGGCACACGGCTGCTTATGTACACCTTTTTGACAATATTCAAGTTCTTATACCTGCTTGTTTATCTATAACATCATGCCCTTCGTCATAATTGTATGTAATGTATTAGCTACTTCTGAACGGTATCATTTGCTCTGTTCGGCTCTCATTGGTAATAGTCATGTTTCATAGCTTAGAGCCTTACTCGATAAATGCACTATCCAACAAAAAAATAATTATTCTAATCGGACCAGTAGGTACTTTCGATTATATCGTCAAACAAACAAACCCATCAATTTTATACGTATTTTAATGTGGTCGTTCAGCATTCTCGGATTGGTAGTAGTTCAGTGATAAAATGGCAACAGATGGTAAAGTATATAATCATTGCTAATCATATTTATAAACGCAATAATTTTTGAAATAAAAATATACTGTACGAACATTTATAGCCAAGATCACGTTTATTTGAAGAGCTAAGGTACTTTAATGTCATTACTTTACTTTTCCTGCATTGAATTGAATGTGGCTGCACGGTTGGAGCCACAAAACATAATATAAACCTTTTTTATATGTTCTGTGGTTGGAGCAGTGCCTTTGTAATTGGCTGCTGCACATTGGTTCGCGGATTCGATTCCCGCACTTTTGTGGATCATAACCAGTGTTACTGGTTCCGAATGTTGAATGTTTGTAAACGCATCCACGGCACGGGAAAAGTCCTAGCATTGGACAAGGATTGCAGTCTGTTTTAATTAATAACATTGTTTTGTTAATTTGGATAACATAAAATTGTTTTTCCGTGCAGGAATCATAGCTATTAATCATATCAAATTGGATGGTGGCGTCAATAGGAAAAAATACGTTAATTAAAATAAACGCAAATGAAATACCACGAGTCACGACAACTTCTTTATTTACAACATTTTATTAATAACTATATAAATACATTGAAATTGTTCACTCCACATTGTTAGAAAAAAACTGGTGGAATCACACCTTATGTCGACGCTGGGGCTGCCACATCGAATAACTAAAAATGTTATATAAACTTCTTTGCTTAAGAGCTACCATTTTGACTTATTCAGTTAGAGCTACAAAGTACAGCGATTATTTCAAATGTCTAAGAAATTCACTGCTAGACAGGTTGGCATTATAATCTAAAAGCCTAGTCTCTAATAAGGTTGGCAACCCAGCTTTACTTGAACCTATATCAGTCCGCGGTTCAATTATTATGACACTGAACATGTTTCCTACAACTTACGAGACAATTTAAACTACACACACTAACATCATTGCAGTTATATTGTCATATACGTCATTATTGTACATACCCACACAAACACAACGGGAAACTCAAGAACGCTTCGATTGATTTTGAAGTTCCTACCTTTTCTATAAAAACGGGAGTGAGTTTCATTACATATTAGAGCTACGTTATGATCTGAGTAGTATCCGATGCTTCTCAAAATCGACTACGAACTTTTCGGTCGAGATCGAAACTTGTCAGATAGATCCGAAATGGAGATAATAGTCTTAGTTTAATAGACCTTTTTGTGTAGGAGCAAATATGACGGGAATGAGTGGTCAATGTGCGTATTTAATGGTCTTTGATGTTCATGTTCGAAGGTAGTGTGGCGGCGGCGGCGGTGGTGGTGCGGGGCGAAGGCGTGGCCCTCGCTCCAGCTGCCGTCGCCATGATGCCATGGCTTCGCTCAACGTCCATAGCTCAGACAGGAGGGACAGGTCCAGCTGCCGTAAACTCGCCTGGAAAAACAGAAAAAGACATAGTTAGAAATATGATACATAGATTAAATACCATTAGAGATCAGTCACGCTTGTCTCCCATTGGGGTGGAGTCTTTTTTTTTTTTTAAGGGGGGAAAGTCATCTAATGACTGCTCCCGCCTGGGTGAGGCGGGAGGGAGTGTCAGACTCTTGTTGACTAAAAACCACCCTGTTCCTTCTCCTGCACGTCGAGTCGGAGACCCGGTTACCCGTTAGGTTCTCCGCGACATTGGGGTGGAGTCTGGAGACAATGGAACGGTAAATGATATGATTCGGGCATAATATCTTTTCCGCTTCATCTACATGTAAAATCAACTTTGATCAATTCTGGCAGTTCTAAATAAATTAAAATTAGCATCGTTTAAAAAACTACTACAGAATCAAAATCTAGAATTTAATTGTAACAGAAAAAAAAAACGGTGGATAATAAGTTAATAATATCAACAAAATTTCAAAATGGGAATTCATGTATCAACAGTTAACTTAATTTCTCCAGCGCACTGAGAGTCGGTCAGAGAAAGTGAAGAAATTATAAGGATCCTAGTTTACATACGAAGGGGCGCGGTGCATATGAAAGGCAAACGGCAAATTAAATAAAGGTAAAAACCAAGACAAGTAAATCGAGTTTTGTTTCAACATTTTCAACAAGATATCTGCTGCACGTTCAATTTAGCAGTTTATTGCCATGACCTGATAAACAGGTATGTATTTAAATATACTCTAGAATCCAGTTAATGTAAACATTAGTTAATTATCGAGTGAACAGCCTACATAGTAACACGTGGGCCGCTTTATTAATTCACTAGATGATTAATCAAGGGTTTATTGATTTTAACTTCTGGAACGAAACTGGTTAGGACGATGGTGATTGAGGCAATTTTGACCGGCGATTATAGGTTAACTGTTATTTGGAAGAGATGGGCAGGAATTTTAAAGTATTACGCGGTTTACAAATTACCATGGCAAATGAAAGACAAACAGTGTTCGACGCGACCTTCCGAGAGCGTATTGGTCGATTGCGTTAGATAGGAATGCAGCACGATCACGACTGTTTGTGGGACGCAGAAATAACCGAACAACTTATTGATATTACCTACACGACGCCGTCACATTCGCGACACATGCGGATCTGGACGACAGGTCTATCTAGATCCGAACTAGGTAAATAGGTACTAAATGTAACCGTATTAATAACGATCTTATAAAAAATATTTGGGTCGTATCGGACAGCTTCTAGCTAGTTGGCCGTTAGATCTGCTTTTTATTACTAAATGACTTCACTGACATTCGTAGTTTTGTAGACACACTTTCGACATAGTTTGGTTTAAACTGTCAAACACCAAGCGGTCACCGGTGACCGCAACCTATTGTTCTATAATTGTGTCTACAAAATCGGTACTCGACGAGGTAATTGAGAGCAACATTAGACATTTTTTTTTTAAGGGGGGAAAATCATCGAATGACTGCTCCCGCCTGGGTGAGGCGGGAGGGAGTGTCAGACTCTTACTGACTAAAAACCACCCCGTTCCTTCTCCTGCACGTCGAGCCGGAGCCCCGGTTACCCGTTAGGTTCTCCGCGACAGCTCACAACATTAGATACTAATGTATAAATAATATAAATTTAAATATTTATAACGCGAGGTACATTTCTAACGAAGATTAACATCTTAACGTAAGTAAATTAAATACAGCGGCCATATTATACACATAATTATAACTAATACACGTTATTTGAGTGCAACTCACATAATGGTGATGTTACAGCTATTATTCAATGGATAATTAAATCACTGATCAAAGCGAAGTAGACGAAGAGATTAAAAAATAAATGCAATGAATTATTGCATGAAATTCAATGCAACACGAGAGAAAATTAACGTCGCTTGCATTCCTGTAGACAATGTTTCGGAAAAGAGGGAAAGTGCCTATCGAGTGGTGCTACGCTCCGATGGAGACAAGACGAACAAGTCCGTCCCGTACGACTAATTAGCATGCACTCGCTAGCTCCAACCATACATTTATGAGATGATAGGCAAGAGCCATGAAGAGAAACTTGATTGTTAGGTACTTATTTCATTAGAACATCAATTGATCAAAAGATTTTTGCCTGACAATGTATTGTTAGGTACCTACTTCAAAAACATCAACCGATTACAAGATTTTTGCCTGTCAAGGTAAACTTCAATTAGTGTTACGTGTTCGAGTTCTAGAACAGCAAGGACTCCATCCGTGAGACAGTTCACGATAACAAATATAAATTGGTATTTGTCCGCAACAAGTGTACGATAGTCTGAGACCAATTTCAACCACTTTGTATTCAGTTTGTAAAGTGCTCGACAAGTGGCACAATGGAATGTAATTTGGTAAAGAAAATAAAATATCTCTAGAGAATTTATTAAAATTACTAGTTCGTGGAAAATATTTAGCCAATGTTTTGTGTTATATGGCAGACGGACGAGAAAAGAAAAACAAGTATTTTTTTGCAAGAAATTATAAATGTACCAACACGCACTGTGAACACGTAGTGTAAACATTTGTATCTGCCAGCTTCGCCAAATGGTTTCATGTTATTGGACCAAATAAATAGTCTGCAAGGCTAAATAATTATGCCAGTTCAAAGAAAACAAACAATTTTATGTGATGGACGTAAATTTTCTTAATTGATGATTTTACAAAGAAGTCAAATAATTTAGTAGTGTGTGAGTTGACAGTCCCCTTTATAGTCGAAAATGTTCGTGACTAATCGTAGTTAAAAATGCAATCTTTCTACGTACTTATAATGAAATATCCTGATGGTTTTTTAAAATAGATCGTAATAACAATACGGCCAAGGGGTGGCGCATGGTAAACTAATTGAATTAGCTGTCCCGCACCCCTTCACACCACCGGACATTGGACCTTCCATAAAAAGAAAAGTGAGTTTCCTAAATGAGTCAGGACTGAGAAGCAGTAAAAATAAACCAATTTTGTTTCGTTCAAAATATTATCGAATTCAGTCGTAAAATTTTCATCACTCTATTGATGGTCAAAAGAAATTTCTTTTATAAATAAGTTTCATCAAAGAACTTGTTTTGAGCACCTAAAGAACCGTAAAAGAAGCTTAATAGTTTCTAGGAAGGAAAGCAAGCGGTTACATTAACAATTGTGGCGAGCTGTTGTTGTTACAACAACTAGTTCAAAGGAAACTCCTATTTGTGCAGCACTGCGTCCGGTCTATTGTGTACCAATGCGTCCATACTTGGTTTTATTTATTTTAAGGTACTGAACTATTCAGTTCTCTTAGTCAGGTAATCTGCGTTTCTGTAGTTTTCAGACTAACTAGCATTTGATGATAACAGAAATCCTCCAGAAAAAAATATCCTTCAGAATCTTTACCCTCTACCACCAATTTAGTTAAGATTACAGAACGGCTATTTCAGACCCCATATTGCAGAATCTATTATCATGCCTCTATTACCTACATCTTGTTTTCGTCCAAAAGGTTGAATATAGGTATTTGACGAACGTTTAGCAATATATTGATTATAAAAACAAAATATAAGTGAAATTATCCCACGCAGATCTCGAGATCAAGTGATTCAAGTGTAATTTAATAACTGGCACCGGTTCTAGTAGTGTCCAACATTCTAGCATCAGTTTCGTTCACGCAAACTTTCTTCACAACGTGTTATTTGATCAGTCCTGAGCAAAGTCTGCGGTTTTATAGCCAATCAAACATGAAGTAATTAAATTGAACTCATATATTTATTAACTAAAGGTACTTTTACATTCACAATTTTGCACTACCCAGTGCACCCGTTGTTGGATGATGCCAGATGATCCTTAATTGGCTTGGTTTCAATTTTCACATGCACACATTCGACATTAATATTTCATACGAAACGAGAATAGCACAGAAATGAGAGCTGAATGCAAGAAAACACGATGGAAATCGAGAATTACAAATGAAAATGTTTCTTCAGTCAGTTGATTTTACGACTAATAAAATTGCTGCATTACATTATGGAAAAGTCGCCAGATATTACGACAGTGAACGTGAAATTCCAGTCAGGTGGAATAAATACACCATCAAGAGCCTATAAGCTGATGCATGATAGGGCATAAATTGAACAGATTGCCGTTAGATGGTTCCTATTTCTCCAAGCTCGTGGTTCGGGAGTCGGCGCCGGCGCCACTGTAGCACCCACGTTTTTCCCATATAATTTACATTCAATACCAGTCAAGATGCCTACATGATAATAGTTTGAAGGACCGGAAGAAAGTATTATTATCATAGTTCGTGACTCCCGTTAAGGTGTGGGCGAAGCTTGTTTTCTAGTTGATATGTTCTGTCAGACGTCCAAAACATAATCGTATGATAGTTTCATTTCGAAAATCTGATATGAACCAGTTTTGCAGGCCACTTGCAACAAATTATATAATTCAATAAACATAATATTGCAACTTTCTCGATTTATGTGCGATATTATAATGTTATGATTTAATCGTGGCTGTTGATATACATTAAATTACTCAATAAGAAAGTGTGTTGTATATTTCCAAACGAATTTGTGTTGAGTGAATGTTTCGATGACGTGAAGTGCCTTATTACGGTGCATTAGGAATGGGTCAATGTATTGCGATGCTCTCGGTACGAGTTTTGTCAACGTGCCAACATGTATGTTGAAGTACCTATTGAGTACAGTTAATGCAGGAGGGCGTTAGAAAAACGTGTGGCCTCGTGGGACCAGTCCACCCACGGCCCGTACAATCCAGTCCTCGTGTTTTTCACCATGTTTGAACACTTGCTGCGATCATTGAACGACAACTTTTTAATAGCCACTTAGACGGAAGCCGATAACTTTAGAAGCAAACGGTAGACCTGTTTAAATAAATAGCATTAGTCGCTGTCCCATCATCAAATAAGCAACTGAGCGTGAAATGGAACATTTGAAAATTGTACTCAAGAATACTAGTGGTTCAAATCCGGGTCCATAAATA